CCACCTCACGACTGCAGAAGAGTCCTGTTTTAGTCTGTCTTGTGTTGCTATAACAGAATACCTGAGACTGGGTAATTTATAAGGAAAAGAGGTTTATTTGGCTTATGATCCTGGGACAGCTGCATCTGGCACAGGCCTTGGGCTGCTTCTACTCATGGTGGAAAGTGGCAGGCAGCTGGTGGGTACAAGCAGATCACATGGCGAGAGGAAGCAAGAGAGAGAGAGGGGAGGTGCCAGGGTCTTTTAAACAACAAACTTGCAGGAACTAATAGAGTGAGAACTCACTCAGGCCCCCACCCCCCAGAGAGCATTAATCCATTCATGAGGGATCCACCCCCATGACTCAGCTCCCAACACTGCTACATTGGGGATCAGATTTCCACCTGAGTTTTGGAGGGACAACATCCAAACTCTATCAAGTCCCCACCAGCAAAAAGGCCTTCACCAGATGTATCCCCTTGACCTTGGACTTCCCAGCCTCTGGAACTGTAAGAAGTAAATTTTGCTTCTTTATAATCACCCAGTTTCAAGTATTCTGTTATAAGCAACAGAAAACAAACTGAGACAAATGGTGTAGTGGGTTGAATTGTGTACCCCCAAAAGACGTGTTGAGGTTGAAGTCCCAACTCCCAGGACCTGTGGATGTGGCTTTATTTGGATATAGGGTCTTTGCAAATGTAATCAAGTTAAGATGAAGTCCTACTGGATTACAGCCCAAAATCCAATGACTGGCATCCTTATGAGAAGAGACGAGGACAGAGACTCACTCACAGGGAAGAAGGCCATGTGAAGACAGATAAGACATCGGGGTGAAGCAGCTACAAACCAAGGAATGCCAAGAACTGCCAGCAACCACCAGACGCGAGGAGTGGGGCAGGAACAGATCGTCCCTCAGACTTCAAAAGGAATCAACTCTGCAGACACCTTGATTTCAGACTCTGGCCTCCTAAACTACAAAAGAAGAAACTTCTGTTATTTTAGGCCACCCAGTTTTTGGTAATTTGTTAGAGGAGCCCTCAGAAACTAATACAGACGTTGAAATTACTGGGAGGATCTCTAAGAGGAAATAGGATATTCTCCCAATCTCAAAGTATCTTCTCTCAAATATCTGTTAGTTACAAAGGGAAAAATAGTAGCTTTACCAAAGTGAAATCTGGCAGACACCAGCTCAACCAACGAGCGAGTTTGACCTCACTGGTAACACATATCATCATCACGTCCCCCTGACATGGTGCAGTGGGAAGGGTACATGGTCCCTGTGGTGTCCTTTCCCTAATGCCAAATCTCAATCTAATCATGAGAAACAGCAGGAAAACCTAAGTTGAGGGGCATTCTACAGAAGAACTGACCAGTACACTACAAAGTGTCAAGATCACGAAACCCAAGAAAAGACTAAGGGACAATCACAGATCAGAGGACACGAAGGAATCCAACAATTAAATGCAATGGAGGGTGCTGAAACAGAAAAGGGAAATTATTGGGCTGTGCTTTAATCAACAGTACCGTACCAATGTTGATTTCTTTGTTGTTGATCATTGGCCAAAGGTTACATAAGATGTAGACATAAGGGGAAATGCAGTGAAGGGTACACACAAGCTCTTTGTACTGCTTTTGCAACTCTTATACATCCAAAATTATCTCCAAATTCAAAAAAATAATTACTGGGTGGGCCGGCCCGGTGGCGCACTGCTACAGTGCGGCAGGCACTCCCGCCGAGGGTTCGGATCCCACATACAGACCGGTTCCCGCTCACTGGCTGAGCGGGGCGGGGGGGGA